CACCACAGCATCACAGATCCCTCCATTGTAGCCATGATATTTTCTGAAAAATCCTTTCCTTAGGATTTTTTCTCCTGAGAAGCTGAGAGACCTCAGAAACAAAACATAAACAATAATTATCTGCTGCTGTGGAATGCAACAGGTGCATCTGTGATTGGTCTCATGTGGTTGTTTCTAATTGATGGCAAATCACAGTCCAGCTGGCTCAGACTCTCTGAGAGTCACAAGCTTTTGTTATTCCTTCTTTTCCTTGCTAGCCTTCTGATGAAATCCTTTCTTCTGTTCTTTTTGTATAGTTTTAATATATCATTTTCTTTTAGTATTATATATATCATAAAATAATAAATTAACCTTCTGAAACATGGAGTCAGATTCTTATCTCTCCCCTCATCCTGGGACGGTGAAAACACCACCACACTCCATCATCTCCTTTGCTTCACAGCATTGTCCATAAGAATTGAGGCTGCTCTCCTCAGGGACAAGGAGTCAGCACCACAGGCTGAAGGAAGCCCCAGCTTGTGTCCTGCAGTGGGAATGGATTTATTTGCCCCTTATACCAGTCTGTAAAAGGGGTTGCTGCCCTTCCAGACCTGCTTTGCCCCATTTATTTCATTAAAAGCAAGGTGCTGCTGAGTTTTTATTATGCACTGGACTGCCCACACCAAAATGCAATATCCTGGACTGGGTCTTTTGAACCATTGTTTTTCTGGTTCCAGCCCTTGAGATTCAAGAAGGGCTTTAATTATTGTAGTCTGAGTGTAATTCATTCAGGTTTTCCCAACCACTTATTCATCTCTTCCTGTGGTAGAGCTTGCAGACCCAGCTGGCATCAACGATAGCAAAACTAGATTTTTTTGAAGAATCAGCACTTCATTTTTAAATTACCACTCTGATACAAGCTAAGATGAAGGAAAAATTTTCCCTCTCTCAACTTAAAAGGAAACAATAATTTTATCCTTTTAATTGAACACTATTCTATTCCATGATTGTTCTCTCCTTGCCATAGAAATTTTGAAATCAAGTCAAACTACAAAAAGAAAAGATGGTATTTTAAATCTTGGACATAATAATCCCCCACCATTGACTTTAAAAAATTAAAGTCAATTCCAGCTCTTCCTGAGTTTTACCTTTGAACTTCCCTGAGACTCCTGCTTTCTAATCTGTAAACAGGAATAATACCTTCCTGTCTCAGAGGACTGCTGTGAGAATATTAAGTGATTTGTGTTTGCAGGATGTTGGGACATGGCAACACATGCATGGATATGAAGATACCTATATGTGCATATTTGAACGCATCTATGGATGGGGGAGCAGACTGGTTTGATTTTTGTGTGCCTCCTGTTTTTTCACTATCTTCCTAAAACACAGAAGATTTCTTGTGGAGAAGAGGATGTTGATTCATTTACCTGAAGATCAGATTGCACATGAATGAAACATTTTCTTGACATACTTCTTGCCCATTTAATGTTTGAAGGTTTTGGTATTTGGCAAAATTAGCACTACACAGGCTTGTTATACTTGAGTCCCGTGCCTTCTTTTGGTATTTTCTTACAGAGAAAGATGTTGCTGCAGATATTCACAGCACAGACTCCTTCTTCTGCATGTTGTTCTTCCTTAGTCAGGGCTCCTCCAAAGCTCTCCCTGACTGGCCAGCCCACCCCCTTTTATCCCAGTTATCTTCATTAGCCACAGCTGCAGCCCAATGAAGGACATCACAGCTGCAGCCCATCAGGAACAACTGAGACCTACCAGGGCAAGGCCTATATACAGATATTGAAGTACAATACAGATATTTACTGGGACTCAAAGGCCACCTCTACTATACTCCTGTTTCATTGCATTAAACCACAAATTATCAGCTAGGTTTCTATTCTGGTATTATTCAGCTCCTTCCAAGGCAGTTTAACAGCTGGAAATGAGAAGGCAGCAGCTCCTTGTTACCAGGCAACTCTTCCCAACCACCAGCAGCTTGTCCCAGGGATCAGGGCTTGAGAGCTGCTCCGCAGTGACAGCTCCTCTCCCATCTTCCAAGCCCAGACTGATGCAAGGAGGCTGCTTCAGAGCAGAGTTCCCTCTAAGAGCTAAGCATTGGCAAGAGCTACATCTTGTTAAAACTTTGTTTTTGTCTCTCACTGTCCCATTATATTGTATCATACAGCTGGGAGTTTTTATTGCTTTGAGTTAATGAGAACAATAAAGAAACATCATGGTCTTCTGCTAAGAGGCTCTTTTCACAGTCAGCAATGAATATCAGTACTCTCCCTCCTGCTTTGGAGAGACAGCTCCAACTCAAGTAATGTCTCAGCAACTCCACTTGTCATTTGGTGTTTATATTATTCCTGGTAAGGTTTTGTAGAATGCATTGTATGAGCTTATATTTGTTCTTATTGTTTTGCTGCAATATTCTTCTCCTCCTCATGTCATCCTTGAATTTATTTATATTTCTTTTAGGTTTTATTCAAGTAACTAAAAACCCCCTAGGACTCAAGCACGTGTGGAATGCACAGGAATAGAAGCCATGATGACCTCATGGTATATTCATATACCAATGGCCTAATAAAACACAAATCCTGTCCACCAGCAATGTTTATGACATCCCTTACATCACTCAAAAGTTCATTCCTACTCAAAATCTAGTTTGGGATTCAGGCTTGTTGAACTCTTGGCCTCAGCATGAGTCAGAACTGGGCTCTATCTCTGACACTGCATTTTCTCTCAACGTTCTCCCAACCATCGTGCAGGTCATGATCATTTACCCATCATCAGAGTGCCCCTTGTTCTAGCTCAGCACAGTTCCACAGGGCCAAGGATATCAGAGACAAGAGAAGAAGAAACATAAGTGTCCATGTTGGTGCAATGCTCCAAAGCAAGATTCAGGTGTCTCAGCTGCAGAGCCTCCAGCAGGAAAGCCCTGAAGAGAAATTGGTCTCTTGCAAAAGCTGTTCCTCTGGTCATTCAGCTCAGCATACAGACATGGGCATGACTAGCACCTGAGGAAAAGAAACTTTTCTCCTTCTCCCTCCAGCATAATGTATCACTGTCAGAAAATAGAATTTGGATCCCTTATTGAAGAGAGACATTAATTGGAGAGTGTTTTATGAAATTTCTTTTTAAGTAAATGACATGTGTGAAAGATGAACAACCTTTTTTCTACATCTCTCTCCATGCATTCAGCTCCACTTTTTACTCAAGTCTTTGATTCTCTCTCTAATCTACATTTACTTATTCTTTTCATCCATTTCATCATCACTAAAATTAAGCATATTTTGAAAATTAGCCCTTTTCTTCTTGATTTAATATATGCCACTCACTCAAAAGACTTGTTCAGTATAAGGGCACCTTTTCTGTGACTGTTTTTATTAGAAAATGTTAAACTTGAATACACCAGAGAAGAGGAATTTTATGCCATTTACATTATTAAATACCTCTGGATGAAATTTCACATTCTAACAAAAATATTGGCCTGATCTAAACAAAGGCACATGTTTGTGTGGCTCCATGAAGGACTTATATTTTGAAGAGGAGAAAGTAGTTTTTTGTATTTATCCCTGAAAATAGCCTGAATTCAAGCATGGCTTCTAATTGTTTTTAGTTGCAGTTTCTCATCCTTCTGACATTCTTTTTCATCACCTGTTGCATTTACATCAGTGTGTGTCTTGGAATAAAGTTTCACATATGCATCAGTAACATCTTTCAGTGGAGCTGCACGACTATCCAGCATTACACCAATTGCCTGGAAATGTTCTTAGAAGGCTTGCATCCTATTTTTGTTACCTCCAAACTTTCACTTCTCATCATCACAAATACTTTACAATTTTAATTTGTTTTGACTCACTTTACAGCCAGGCATTAAATGAATCTGATGTGTCCAAAACTCTGTTTTTAAAAAGGAAAGTGCAGGCTGTGCAAAAAGCCCCAGCTCATCTGTGGCAGTGGCACATTAGGAGAAGGTCCAGATGGATCTACCAAATGGGTTTCCCAAGCAGCAGGGATTGCACTGGTACCATGAAAGGTTCTTGTCTTGGAGTCTGAGTTCAATTCCTGCTGATGACAAAAAGAAATCTTAAATTTTTAGTGTGGGAATCCATACTTTGTTTAATTAACTGAGGCCCACCTGAGCATGCTGCACACACTGCTACAAGAGCTTTTTCTGATTAATTTCATCTTTGGGTGAAACAAAATTACAAATCTTCAGGTCTTCAAAATGCCACTGTTTCAGTAAGGAATTTTTATGCGATTTTTCCATATAAACAAGATATGTGTGAGTGTGTGTGTGTGTGTGTGTGTGTGTGTGTGTGTGTGTGTGTGTGAAGACAGTAGGATATTTGGGATTCTACTTTTTTATATAAGTTACCTGCTAGGGGCATTCTAAACTTATTTATGGCGCCCACAGTAGTTCCAGTTTGTGAGCTCCCTTCTTTGCCTTGTCACACGTGTTGAAAATCAAGATATCTTTCAACCTCTACAAAATCCATTTTCCAAATGGCAACATAAGGAGACACTAGAGAGACATTTAGTGATGGCACAACAGGTGCTTAATCATCAAGCAAGGAATCTATTAGAACTGAATTTAATATCCTCAACTGGATAACAGACACGTGAAGGCAGGAGTAGGATAAAAGGAACTGGTGTTCCTCCACAATGCAGTTAATCCCACAATCTAATGCTTGTATCCCAGAGGTACAGAGGTTGTTTCAAAACAAAGAAAAGCAAAGCTATTTTTTAAAAAAGGGAGTAAGAAGAAAAAAAGCAGAGTCAGTTATGGAAGATCATCTCCACAGCATCTTGTCACCATAAGTACAACACCCCCATTGGGCTCCCTGCCTCCAGGTGCTTAGTGGTGACTCAGATAGCACAGAAAACACTCTCTGGTCCTGCACCTCCACCTCAACCCTTTGGTGTCCTGCAGAAGTATATTACCTACCAGGAGCCACAAGGACCTGCAGGCTGTGGCAGGAGGTCTGTGCTGTTGGTTGGTGCCATTCAGTCTGGGAGCTCACCTGTGGATGGCAGTGCCAGCTCTGCCCAGGAGTTTGCTCGCTGTCTCGCTTGTTGCAGAGGGAGTGCCACTGTCCAGGTAAGCAACTTGGTTTTGGTAGTGCCCAAAGACATTTTCAGCCACCATTTTAGCCTCTAATGAAAGGAAATCTCATTCACCTGGAACCAAGACAGGCACAGAGAGAACAAGATGACAGTTCAGAACTTCCTTGCCCTTGAAGTTTATTTTCTGGCATCAGTCCGTGAATTATAGTTGACAGCTAAGCAGCAAGTTCCAGATCTTAATGTGCTGAGTATAATTGGCATATGGCCAGCCTGTACTGCACTCAGGCCAAGGATCATGGAATCAGCTCTCTTACTCTCAGAGGGATTTTCTGATTAAATATGTTGCCTTCCACAATAATTTAATTTCTTAAATATTCTGATGTAATCTCATATCCTTCTACTAGTAAAATACAAGCAAAAGTAGGAATAACACCTTAGGAACACTTTCAAAGGAAAAATATCAGGAAATGAATGGGAATTTGCATGTGAAGGAGTTGCTTGCTCTAAAATCTGAGATACTTTAGCATTGTGGGACAACTCATAGGACATGTCTAACCAATTTTTCCTTGAGGTGAGAAAAGTACTTCACACAGAAGAGAGGGTCCTTCACAAGTCAAGAACATGCACCTCATAGTGTCCCTGGCTAGAGAACCAGCAGAAGGAAGGAAGGGCAGGCTTGGGAATCCCTTCCTCTTGTACACAATGAGTATGTAGAATAACAGAATTGTTTAGGTTGGGAAAAAACTCTAAGATCATCAAATCTAACTGGCAATGCAGCACTTCCAGGTCCACCACTGAATCGTGTCCCCAAGTGCCACAACCACACATTTTTGGAACATTTCCAGAGGTGATGATTCTGCTATTTCCCTGGGCAGCCTGTGCCAATGCCCGACCGTTCTTACCATGAATAAATTTTTCCCAATATCCAATCTAAATTTCCCCTGGCACAACTTGAGGCCATTTCTTCTTGTCCTGTGTTCTGTTAACTGGGAGAAGAGGCTGACCTCCACCTCACTACAACCTCCTTTCAGGTAGCAGTGGTTGAAGGTGCTCCCTGAGCCTTCTTCCCTTCAGGTTAAGCAACCCCAGCCCCCTCAGCTGCTCCTCACTAGATTTGTGCTCCAGACCCTTCACCTGCTCCATTGCCCTCCTTCTTCAGCTCTAAAGCTGTGAGGCCTGCATACTCTTCTCAGGACATTTTAGTTTCATTCTGCACTTTGGTGACTGCAAATGTAATTAGTGGCAGGAACCTAAATGAACTTTGCTCAGTTAAACCTTCTGCTACACCTCTGCAGCTTGTCTACACACTGGTTTCTTTTGGGATTAATGAAGGAAGAGAAAACCAAGGACATCAGTAGGCATTTGGAGTAAGTGTCTCAAGGTCGGTGAACCAATGAACCACTTTTAGATTTTTGATCCTTAACAAATGCCTTCTGGTTGTATTTTTAGTCACTTCTCACAAAACTTGTTAGATTTGGTGCATATTTCTGGTTAGTGTCTAAAAACCAATGGAAACTAATCCTACAGGTTCAGATTTATATTTGGAAACATCTGTGTCTAGATTACTTTAAAATCAAAAGACAGTCTAAAATGGGACATGCTGAGAGCACAAGCAGTTCATGTAACATTGTTTTAATATTTTCAGCATTATTTTTCTATGCTGTTTTTCATGTTCCCTAAGACATTACTGGGACAGCTGAGACCAGATAACAAAAAAATCCATTAATTCTGAAGGAAATTAAACTGTTACTTTATTCAACTCATTGCTTAAATCTGCCTTAAATGCTACCATGCCAGAAGAATGGAAGGTGGAAAATACAACTATTGAAGAGACTTCTGAGCTCACCAAAATCAGTGTTTGATGTCTGTGCCAAGTAACTTACTGGAAAACATAAGAATAGAACTGGTGAACTGAATGATACGTTGGAGAAGAATCAGCATTGCATACCAAGAAGGATGTCTTGTTTTGCAAATCCATTTGATATTCAAGGAATGATATTTATTTAGACAAGGATGGTTCTGATAATATTAGATACTTGGATATTAAAAAATTTTTGAGCTGGCCTTTTACCATATGCTCTCAAAGTGTGATCATATGGGATAAGCAGAAAAGGATTTTAAAAAAATGTGAAAGAAAGAAAACTCATTATTAGATTACACAATATAATGCAGTTTCCAGAACCCACAAAAATTTCTGCTGTTCAACATCTTCAGAAATTTTATGGAGAAACTTAATGCCATGAGGTCAGTTGGCAGATAATACAAAATTCATCTGAACAGACAAATCTCAAACTGGTAATCAAGAATACCAGGAGACTTTTAGCAAAAAACCCTTAACTTTTATTTTGACTTAGTGAGTTTAATTTACTTGCTGAGAGGTCACATCAGTGACAAAAGTGTACAAAGATTGTACATCCAGGGATAAGGTGGAAACTTAGAGGAAAGGCAGAGTGGGACAACCTGTTTTGGTAGCAAGAAGCTGTTCAGTTGGCTTGGCTGTATCACTTGATAACACTCTTCATGTGACAGGGTGATAAATGACAAGGAAAATTTAATATACAGACACACAAAGCAACACACCCATGAAACACAGCCCTCACCTTTGCATTCACTGGTAAATCTGCACTCAGGAAAGAGATCTCAGACCTCTTGTTCATGGCTCTGTGGAGAGAGCAGGTCAAGAAGTGACCCATGCAATGTTTGAAAATAGTAAGAAAAAAACAGAAGTAAGAAAGAAGCAGGACACTTGCTATAATATCATATCTTGTATATTGCATGTAGTTTTGCCCACATTGTCTGAAAAGAAGTATAAATAGCAAATGTACAGGGCAGGATGAAAAGGTGGGAATGGTGTCTGAGGGGCTTAGGCTGCAATCCCAGAGCTGACTATGGATTTACTGCTGTAATCCCACTCCACACTTCTCCATGCTGTCATTGAGCTGGTTCAGCACAGTAACCTGGTAAAACACACACACACATACACTAAAAAAGAAGAGTTTCCTGCCAGGTGACTGAGCTGAAATGACACAGCCACATCTGTGGACATGGGCAGGGGGACACATGACAGAGGGAGGAAGGTGGCAGCCAGTCCTGGGAAACCTCTGCCTCCAGCTGTAGCTTCATGAACCACTTTGGCCAGCTCTGCTGATGAAATCAGGCCCCAGCTCCTTTGCCTGCAGCTACTCGCTGTCACCCCTGAAAGCCTCTCCCTTTTGGTGTTTGTGCAGCTGTTCAGCAGCTCAGTGGGGGAACTGATATGAACAAAATTAATCATTTTTGTTGGATTATTCTGATAGAGTTTGCAGCATGCTAGCACAAGAAACAGACGTGGCCAAAGGACAGGAAAAAGCAACAGGGACTGGAAGGACTGCTCCTTTGAGCAATGCTACTTCAAAGGCGTTTGGAAACAAGTAAAAGACCGAAGCTCCACAGCTCAGGAAAAAGGATGGTTCTGAAATTATGAGAGGTCTATATACTGGTATGGTGGAAACAAATAGGGCATGATCATTCATGATTTCTTACATGACAAAAATTCAAGTACTCTGTAAAATTATTAAGCACTGGATTTAAAACCAGTGAGAAAAAGTTCCTGCCTAGCCTTTGTGTAAATTTGAGACCTTTCCACCACTCCTGGAGGCCAGGTGTACCAACAGATCAAAAAAGCTATTTGACAAATTCATAGAGAAGTGGTACATTTGTGGCTGCTAGGATTGCAGTGGATTTCACCTGAGAGCTTTCCCTCTGCACTTTAGGAGCTGAAAACAGAAAAAGAAGATCACTTAATGGTGATTTATATGTTTTCATACCTCTTACCTGTATCTCTACTATTGGCCATTGTCAGACAGAAGATACCAGCCTAGTTGGTTTGAATGCGGCTGACTCTTCGGTTTTCACCTACTTTCCTTCAACTATGTGATATGAATATATTGTTTACATTTGTTTTATTATATTTGCAGTAATTATTGTGGAGACACAAAATCTGTATTAGATATACCTAAATAACAAACTAAAACTAGATAAATTCTTTTTCTGAAACAAATTTTGCCACTGAAGCTTTCTCGAAGAATGTATGGACATGGTGTTACTGGAGCTATCTGTCACACTTACCCTTTGACAGAGCAGTACAGATAGAAAGCACGGCTTTAAAGCAGTGGCACTAGATAGCCCAAGAGCACCTCTGAGCTCTGACCCCACAGCTCCAGGTTACAGCTAACAGGGTTTCCCACGGTGGAAGTGTCCTGTGGAACTTCGGATGGACAAAGGACAGTAAAGCATGGCTTGCAACACATTGGTAACAAAAGACATTAATCTCTTTCCTGGGGAGTTCATCCTAAAATACTGGAACAAACTGAAAATGCGTTTCTGACGAAAACCTATGTTGGTGTGTGGGGAGAGCCAAGTTTCTAATTTACGGCAGGACAGGCTTGGGTTTGGCGCCAGCTTCTCCCTTCCCAGTGATGTGCCTGGAGCTATTAAAGCGATGTGCCTGGAGGTGAGGGCGCAGTCTCCCCGCCCGCTGCCCGCGTCCTGCCGGCCGCCCCTCGGCCCGGCTGCCCGTGCCCGCCCCCGCCGCTCGCCACGGCCGCTCCGGGCAGGTACGCGGGGCCGGGCCGGCGGCCGCTCCGCCGCCAGCCAGCGAGCGAGGTGTGTCCGTGAGCAGCGGCTCGGCGGTGCCTGGTGAGGATTGGGCAAGGCGGGCGAGCGGCTCCGCGGCTCCCCCGCCGGGCTCCGCGCCGCGCTCCCGCAGTAGCAGCGCGCCCGCCGCCCGCGCCGCTCCCGCTCCGCCGCTCCCGCCCCGGCCCCGGCCCCGGCCGCCGCCGCATCGCGATGCCGCATCCCGCGGCGCCCCTCGGGGCCGCCGTGCTGCTCGTCCTGCTGGCGGCGGACTCCTCGCAGAGTGAGTACCGCGGGGGGTTCGTGCCTCCCGCACACGCCGCCGAGCATCCCCGCCGCCCTGCGTGTGTGCGGGTGCGGGCTGTGCTGGCTGGGGTGCGGGGGATGCGCGGCTGCGGTGAGGGCGGCGGCGGGGTCAGGGGATGCCGTGAGGGGCCGCGCCGAGGCCGCGGGGACCCACGGGCGGCGCCCCGGGCACGGAGAGCGCTCGGTGCCCCCCGAGGGGCGGTCTGGTGTGCGGGGCGGGGGTCGGGGGGTCCGGGGCGATCCGGCGGGCTCAGCTGTTCACCGCTGCCTGTCCTTGCTCCCGCTCCTCTCCTGCTCCTCCGCTGCTCCCGGCCTCCCGCCGTGCCGGCTCGGCTGCCCAGCCGTGCTGCTGCGCGCCCCGGAAGCCGCCCAGTTCCTGCGGCACCGGCAGCGGCGGGCGTACCAGATCTTCGAGGAGACCAAGCAAGGACACCTGGAGAGGGAGTGCGTGGAGGAGCACTGCAGCAAGGAGGAGGCCAGGGAGGTGTTTGAGAATGACCCAGAGACGGTAAGGACACGGAGGTTCGGGGGGTTGTCCGGCTCTGCGCTCCCGCCCATCCTCTGCCCGCGGCTGGATGCCAGCTACCGACACGGCTGGGAAAGGCATCGGGAGGAGGAGGAGGAGGAGGAGGACCCCGGGCCATGAGGGGAATGACTGGAAGGCACACTGTGCTCAGCCTGCACAAGGGCAGTGCCAGGGCAGTCCGGTCAGTAGCGTGTCTGTGAGTGTGCTCTGAGTGAGCAGCCCGGCCTGGCACCGGCTGGCAGGGCTGCCACAGGAGGGTGGAAGGTCCTGTTCACCCATGGTCCAAAATCCATGAGGCAAGACCAGTGCAGCATAATGATACAGCTTCTCTGTCTGGATACCCTGCTCTTCTCTCCAGCTTCCCATCCCAGCTGTATTTAAAATCCCCTCAGTGTTGCAGCGTATGTCACAACTGGGGCTTCTAAGACAAATGTGCTAACCACTCTTAAATCTGTGGGAGCCAATTCAGCTTGGTCAGCATTTAGAATCAGTAAGTTCAGGACCTGTCACTACAACAGCAGGAGGGCACATATATGGGAACGTGGTGCTGCTGCACTTCTAGCGCTGGATTCACACAGTTACAGACTGCACACGATGCACGGAACTGTCTTTTCCAGTCTTATCAAGGTTGACTTTCACTTCAGTCTTCTCACTTTGAGCAGCATGCAGATGCTTTACTAAGCTTGGCTTACTCCTCCAGCCACTTTACACTTCCTCTCAACACTGTTTTGGATAGGCTGTTCTCATTGCAAGGACTCTCTGGCATTGATTTAGCAGTGGGAAGCGGATTTTCTTGGTGTTCAAACTGAAGCTCAGTTCTGCACAGCATGTTCCTGTTAATGGTATGATGCTCTAGGGAGAAGATAGGACAGAGGCAGGGAGAGAGCGAGTGAGCACGTGTGTGTGTACACAGAGGCACAAACCACAGGCAGGGGAGGGATTTAGCAGAGGAGATGTTTTATGCTTCAGTAAGGCAAGTCTTGACATGTGAACTTCATTGGCAGCCTCAGCACTGGATAGTGCAGTAGCTTGCTGTCGCAAGACAGTAGTAAGCACAATGAAAGCAAAGTGATGTGGTTTTGACCATCTTTATTTTCAAGATTAATATGGAACACTTGCCCAGGTAGTGTTTAATGTTACACCTTTTATGTGTACCTGTAGTCACATCTGCATGGAGCAGTGTTTGCTTCTGTTCTGCAAAAACAGCTACTTCAGAATGTGGATAACTGTAATGGGGTGAGAGTGGCTGGCACAACTACAGTATTTGTGTTGAGTAATATAACGTTAAACTCAATATAAATATTCATCACTTAGCAGTGAGTACAGGGAAAACTGTGATGAGTGTGATTTTGTAGCCTTCTGGAACAAAGGTGATCTAAGGTCACTACTTTTACTAACTGGCTGCTGGCCAAGAAGGTAGCCAAAGGGGATGTATTGATAGATTAGTTTAAGGGTAGGATAGTGTGCAAATATGTCAGGAGTTTTTAACAGTGTTTGGTACTGATTTTGTAAATTGTTAAGAATACACAGTTCTCCTGCTGAAATGACAATAGTGAAATCATTTTGGTTTAAAATCTTTTCACATATAATAAAAATTCTCTAAGATACCATCATACTTTCAGTGTGTTTTGTAGGACAATGCTGGCTTTCTGTTTTTGCAAGTGATTTTGATTTTGGTGCATTTCCTTTGTTATTGCTGCTAGGTTTCATTCTGTTCTGAAAACCTGAAGAAAGGCTAGATGGGCTTCTAATGTCTGTGCCCCCTAACATGTCCTTCTATCCCAGAACACTTAGATCTGCAGTGTCATGAGATCCCACCTTTTCTGAGACACAAACCTCCCAAGAGCTGTGAAGTTGCTTGTTAAGTGCAGTATGTCCTAGTCCTTGCATTACTTTGCTTCAATTTGATTGAGAAGCCAGTGTGCTGTAATATACCATGGGGATTTCTGGCCCTTCCTCTCCCTTTTGCAATCAGTATGTGATGGGAAAGCAGCAGCTGCTGTTCAGTAGCAGCTTTCCAATGCATGGTGGCAGAGGTTATGTATGTGGGCTGCTGCAGCTCTGTACTGGAAGACTTCACTGTTTTATAGTGCATAGATGACTACTCTTTCAGGTGACTGGATTTCATGGACAGAATGTTAATGCACAATGGAAGTGTATTTTAAACAGTAGGGATCTGTTGTGCTGTCATTTGACTGATGCTGTGTTGTACATCCAGCCCCAGTGACTGACAAAAGAAGGAAGCTAGCTGAGACTTAGGAAAGCCAAAACCTGTTGTGCACAATACCAAGCTTTTCAAAGAATTACAGTCACTGCAGTCATGCTTCAGCATATTGCCAGGCTGCAGCTGATCCATGAGGGAAATGAAGAGATTGCTGTTGACAGATGAAGATTCCTTGTAGTTTAGGGAGGATGAAATTTCTGCATGTGCCTGCTGAACCTGGTCCCATGGATTAACTATTTAGGTTGTACAGAAAGGAGCAGCTACAGTACTTTTTGCCCTGTGCTGAGCTCTGTGAGGCTATGCAGGCAAGCCATGACAAACACAGCAGTGCAATCTGTCCTGTTGCATCTCCCAGGTTTTATGCTTTAAATCACCAGATGAGCATCTGTGTGGGCATTTGGCTGTTTACTGTCCCACAGGAGCAATGGTCTTGCAACCTTGACAGCTGAAAGTTAGTTTCAGATTAGTTGATCAATCTTGATGCTTCTCAGCCTCAAGAAAGGCTTGTGATGTCAGACCAGAAGTGTTGTCCCTCTTCCCTTTTCCCCTCCATTAGATGCTAATGAAATGTGTGAGTCTTCCTTACTAACCTTGCCATTCTTGACTATCCTGAGGTTGTGTGAGGAGAATTTGAAGGGTTAATTTTAAGACCTATAACCTAAAGATGTGATAGGAAATTGCATTAACTGATTCAATAAAACAGTTCCAGAAATTGAGGTAAGACAAAGCAAGGTTGTAACAGCTCATGTGATGCTTCCCATGCTTCCCATACCTTTATGCAGCCAATTGTAACATCTAGCCAAGAATTTTGCAGAAAGATACCGATTTCCTGGACAGAGCAGTAAATGAACTGACATGTCACATCCCGACACCAGAGCACCCTTCTTGTGGGCCTTCCATTGTTTCAGTGATCAGCTTCCCATAACAACATCTGCAGGCAGGCAGCAGAAGATGCACATTCTCTGAAACCTGAATGTGGATTTTGCCATGTGTGAGATTACTTACATCAGCTGCTAAGAATAGTGTATCAGGCGGGGCCCAAGGGCCATTCATGTGCAGGGCAGTGCAGCTTTTGTCTTTTATGTTACGGAAAATATAAATATCAGCTCACTCAGACTAGAGGAAGGAAGATCAATTGAAACATTTTTAGATTGTTGTTGGTTTTTTTTAAGAGGCAGAACAAAACTCAGTATGTATGACTTGTATGACTATACATGGTAAAAGCAAGTAGCCTGGATTAATGAGTCTTGCAGCCTACCTTTTTCATGAAGCTGATTATAGCATCCTTAAATATTACTGCAGAATTCTGGGATGGTTCCTGTTTTGTAATTTCATTTATGCTAGAGGTGCCAAACAGAAAAATTAAAAGATAATATAGAGGTAAAAAAAAAAAAAGAGGGATGGGAAACATCTTGATGGGAGGTATGCAGACTGTTTCTAAATGTGATCTATTCAAAATACATGCTAGGTGTGATAGATGGGATGAAGTTGCAAAATATCTTGGATACAGAGATAAAAATGTTATCTTATTTAAGATGTTGACAAGGCCTTATAAAAGCAGCACTGCAGAAATATTTGACCTTGGTATGCAGTCAAGGTATTACAGCTTGTTAAGTGACTGATAAACTGCTCTGGAATTTGGTTGACCCGTTCTAAAAATCTGGTCATCCAAGCATGTAAAACAAAGGGCAGAAGGGAGTGTAGATCCTGATCTTCTTAGAAACATTGCATTTCACTGAAGAAAAAAGTGTCCTTGTACAAGGAGTTTCTCTGTTTTAGAAGACTCAGCAGAGGGAAAATGTTTGAATGCAGCCTCTTATCCTTTGGTACCACAGTGCAGCATCTGTCCCTGCACATCTTGCTTGCTGTTGTTACTGCTGAAGAATTACTGCTCTTCCTGCAGCTCACCTTAGAAATTGTTGTGCTGAATGCATTGAAAAGTGCTAGGCACACCAGAAACGCTGATGTAGGTCAGCCTGGCCACCTGTGTTTACTGTTTATGGATTTGGCCCTCGGTAGAGCACTGTGCAAAGCCAGCTGGTTTCCATGTGCGTGCAGAATGCACATCTGAT